GAGATAAGGAAAATCAAGGAGTGAAAGGTAGAGAAAGTCAGAGCAGGTGCGACATACAAGGAGAGTCACAGAGAGAGAAATAAAATGCAGGAGTCATTGAGAGAGAGAGAGAGAGAGAGAGAGAGAGAGAGAGAGAGAGAGAAAATTACCTAAGCCCAGAGGTGACGTATACCAACATCGTACTTCGAATGAACTTGTCTTACACATAAATAAATGTGGACAATTGCCCAAATTGCAAGAAGTGAGTAGAACTGAACAAGGTCTGGTCAAGAGAAGGTTGATTGTGGCGCCAATGTGGCCACATGGAGACGCCCAGGAGGAAGAACCTGATCTAAACCAGTGTTCCTCCTCTGGTACTTGGCATTTTGAGTGAAAAAGACGACTGGCCGAAATGTTACTGAATGAACTTCATCTAAAACCTGTGTTATCTTTACCACCAGAATCCACACACACACACACGCACACACACACACACACACACACACACACACACACACACACACACACACATGAGATATCAATAATACACACACAGACATATATATATATATATATATATATATATATATATATATATATATATATATATATATATATATATATATATATATATATATATATATATATATATATATATATATATATATATATATATATATATATATATATATATATATATTATGCGTGTGTGTGTGTGTACGAGTGTCACTACACACATACGTAAAACGTTCATGTCTATAAAGGTTAATTTGAACAAATACGTGATGCTTTCATCCCATGACAAATTTGCAAGGTATTGCGAATTCAATTTTGTAAAAAAAATACCGTTTATTTGTGATGGCAAAAATCACTTTTACTGTGTTCCTGGTGAAACGTGTTTGGATTTGAATAAAACCCAGTGATTGTGTGTGAGAGTGTGTGAGGGGTGTGTGGGGGGGGGGGCTGGGATGAATGACACACACTCTATTATCCTCTCTCCATGATTATTGCCAACTTCTTAGTTTTTTCACAAACACTCGCCGTACATATACAATATACACACTAAGACTATATTGTATTGAGGATACTTCATGCTATGTTACACAGTGGAGGAGTCAACAATAAACGTAGACTCTCCCCACATCTCCCGTCATCACTGCTCTAACGTCCCCATAAGCCCGCTCGTCTCTCTCAGAAGCTGTGTCACCATATCCATCTTCTTCACATATAGTAAAACACAAGTGATTCTTCAGGACACCAAACAACGTAAGTAAAACGACAGTCGATCAAATAAATGGTCAACTATTAATGATCATCCACAGAAGTCGTTTTAAATTGATGTCAGTCGTGGGTGGAGTCAACTGGCATATAATTTATCTTTAAGTCCTTGATTCATTATCGCGTAAAGATTAGATTTTAGATACAATTTAAAGTTTGGTGTTGATATGTGTGTTACTAGTTGAAACAAGCTGTATTTAGTGCAACGAACATCGATAAAAAGAAATTTAAAGTGCCACAAATAACTGAATTCTTTTATTTCATCAAACTATCACACGCTGAGTATGAAAGATTTTTTTTTGTTTTTATTTTTGCCCCGTAATACCCGTATCTCTCCTCGACGAGATGAAGTGTTCTATTTCTCATAATTTTTACCGTTGGTGAACTATATTTACTACAATTGTTGTTGTCTTAATGTTGAAGCGCAGTAATACTAAAGTCCAAGGTAAGCTTATCTTAAAAATGAAATACATGATATATTTTATTTATTATATGTTGTGACCTCTGGCTTATTTGTGTTTATACTGAAAAGTTATCAACAGATTTTCAGCTGGATATTGTAATAAAAGTCGACGGTTGTGTTTTGTTGACTCGTGAAAAAATTAAAAAAAATATATATACCGTGTCTAAAATGGGTAGGATAAACCAGCCATGCACGAGAGAGATTGGATAATTTCTTTGTTTTCTTTTTCTTAGAATCTTGACACAGAATTTACCAGAAACCAACACCAATATTTATTTTTTCTCATAAATTGACTTCACCAAAAATATGAATGACGAAGAAATAGAAAAAATTCTTAAGTATATTAAAAGAAATGATGAGTACTGTCTGACACATGATGGGTACTGTCTGACACATGATGGGTACTGTCTGACACATGATGGGTACTGTCTGACACATGATGGGTACTGTCTGACACATGATGGGTACTGTCTAATACATAATGGGTACTAACTGACATACATCCTTCTTTTATCACCAATATAAAGGGGAAACCAAAGTTATAAACACTGCCGCGTGAGAGTGGCAAACACGTGCCAACAGTGGGAATGTTTATGGTCCTGATCAACACACAATAACATAACATCTACCAATAAACGTTTACTCGTACTGGGGAGGGGTTATAAACTACGTGTTATGGACGGCGGCACACAGACACGTATAACTTGTATTGGTTGTTGTGTGTTATGTATACCCCACCGTGGTTATGTGTAGTGGTTAAAATTGTCTTGGAATGTTTAAGTTTTTGGCTTTGTGGAATATTGAGTGAATATATCTCGTCTTATAGTTGGTACAGTGTGGCAACTTTAGACATACTATTTTCTTTTTTAATGTTTTGTCTTTGATATGTACAGTATAGCCACTCAAAATAGGGCCCCAATATCACACCACCTTAGTATCAATAATGCGAGACTTATGTTGTGATTTGTTACAGAAGACTTGTCTCACCACGGACCTTTAAACACATACAGTATATACGGATTGCGTTTCCGTGCAGTGGGATAAATAATGACGGTAAACTAACACGTATGGCATAATTTTTCTCACTCTAAAATTAACAAATTATATTAAAAATCTCTATAGCTTGTGTTGACTATGGCGTGGAAACACAAAATAATAAGCTTAAATAAAACACCTCTGTGATATTTTACACAATTATCTCGGGCTTTTGTTTTCACGCATAAATGAAATAGAATGATGAGATTTTGCAAGCAAGAATTTTTTTTTTTTTTTTTAGGTCGTCGAGTCAACATCACAGTACATATGAGTTAGTTTTAATGCATAGTTTTACCGATGGTTTAGATTTATTAAAAACAAACAAACAACCTGAAGTTAACAACACAGTCTACATAATAACCTTCCTGTGTCCAACCTTCCTGTGTCCATCCACCCTTGTCCTACAGCAACAATGTATAAAGAAACACAATGTAATACCGCCACATACAACGACAACAAGCTATACAATAACCACACACACATACATACACCATCACTGCAACGCAAAAAATACAACCACAAAAAACTCGTGGTAACACATTATAAAACAACACAGCAACATAAACACCCACTACACAGCAACACACAACACAACAACACAACAATAGCACTACAGTATATACACAACACAACTCCACAGAACATAACAAAGAGAGTCAACTCCTTCTTACTCCTCCCCCCACAACACAACGCCAACACATCACATTGTATCCTTTATCTGCTCCACTACCCCGTCAGTTTCACTCGACGTATTGGCGTTATTAAAGTTATCTCTGTTTATATTAACGTGATGAAGGCAGCCCCAGACCTCTCACTACTGTAGACGTATACTTCACACCCTCCCTGGCAGCTGGGGATCTAGTTTACAGTGGTTCATGACTTAAAGATAAGAGTTTCATTTGGTGTAATGTTATCATAAGAATAATGAAAATGATAATTATAAAATATTTGGAATAATGATAGAAAGATTGATAAAGCAAATTATCATTATGAAGAGGGATGATGATAATAATAATAAGAAGAATTATGAATATTATTTTTATAAATTATTATAGAGCTAATAATTAAATAAAATCACACACACACACCTATTTAGGGCCTATAGAAGTGATAAAAGTGCATTAGAACTATGAAAAAAACAAACATTGAGCATAAAACAGTACAAAACACAGGTACTCGGGCTCCTCTGAATGTTTAAGGTGACCTCTGGTACAGTACCACATTTCACCTGGGAGGGGCATGTAAATGTTACTTTTTTTTTTTGGTGAAATCGGTTATTTTGCAAAATTACCGGCATGCATATTGGTAATTTTGCAAAATAACTTACAAACAGATTAACCAAAGTAAAAAAACAAAAACAAAAACAACAGAACCACTTAACTGTGTATCAATCTACACGAGCCGTATTAACCTAACCTAACTTAACCTAACTTAACCTAACTTAACCTCTCACTTAACCTAACCATAAACATAGGCTAGTTTAGGTTGTCTGTTTGTGAGTTGGAATGACTCTATCGATGTATAGTCTCACAAAATCACTCTGAACGTCTCCTGTACTCGTTTACACATAGAATAAATACTGTGGATAGCATTACAATCTCCCGCTTTCACTTCATTGGTCATAAAGTAAGGTATTGTAGCCCACATCTTCCGGGGCTGGGTGTTGTCGACCCCCAGTGGCTGGTAGCGGTAATCGAACCAGTGACCGTTGTATAAGAGACCAGTGTTGGAACCAAGTATGTATAATAACGGACTTAAACGCAATACTTTTTTTATAGGCTATCGAGAGAATATTTGTGTGTACATGTGGTTGATGTAGTGAGACGTGAGACAATATGTGAAGTTATCAGTTTCACCTTCAGGAGATAAGTATGTGGTGAGGGGGAGGACCGGAATTGATGCCCTCCAGCGCGGTAATAACTAAGGATCTTGGCAACATTTGCATAATTAGGTGTGAACACTATACTGGAGCCTCTTACACACTCTCGCTTTCCGCTGGTGAGTATAATGAGGGTCATTTAGGTAAGTTAGTGGCACGATACAAGCGGAACTTTGACCTGGTCGCCGCAGCATGTCGCCACAGCGCCAATATCCAGCCGGTAATTGTACCAGTAACTACCCGGTATTGCTCCGTTCCGCTCTTGAGTGTTATGGTGCTTTTGGATATGTAATTGTAAACTTATAACGTGAATGTGTAGGTGAAATCGTTGTGGTACTGAGAGAGTGAGGCTACTTTGGTACTCAC